AATAGTTAATTAACCAATTTAAGAATTTATTTAGATTATTAAGATATATATATATATATAGCAAATCTGTAACCTTATTCGATGGAGGTGAGGACATCTCGGATTCAGCAAAGGCTTTTGAATGATAGTCATCATTGTCTCCGTCAACTGTGTTTGAAGGTACTGCTTGCTGCATTTCAGAAATGTCTTGTGCAACAATTGAAATCAAACAATCATTTGACTGGCTGCTTTCAATTATTTCCAACTTATTGTCATCAATAGGTGATAATATCTGAAAGAAATGTTAAAATTTTTCAAAAAAATTAAAATAAAAGAGATTCCTTTTAATAAAATGGTTTTCCAAATAATCCCAAGTAGTGAGATAGTTTTATAAAAATATATATTATATATATAATACTAACCATGCCTTGGTTTATATCTGATAGATTACTATATGTAATATTCATTGCATCAGTAGAGAAAGAGGGATTCTCTTTTCTCAAGCTGTTTAATTGTACCTGAAGCTCGATATTGAGATCAGATAAAAGTTTCATTTTTTTTATTAATTCCTCATTTTTTTTTATTATTTCCTCATTTTGTTGTTGAACATCGTTATATTTTTTTTTCCAAAGCTCTTCACTCTGCAATGCATCTTTCTTTAATACTTCTATAATTTGCATGTAATTCTTATTTTTTTCGTGCAGTTTTGTAATTTCTTCTAACGCTTTGTACATTTCAGATGAAACATAATCTTCTTTCGTGTCATCATCACTTTGACTATTACTAGCTTCAGTAATATTAGTTTTAATTGTCTTTTTATTCTTGCTTATATTATTTTCTATTTTCTTAGCAGCAAATGTGCTTGAACTTTCATTATTACAAGAAGTTTCTATGCACTGAGAATTGCAATTATCACTAGTGTCAGGTATAATAGCTGTTAGATTATCAATACCACATTTCTGCAAGAGTGTAGCAATGTTCTTTTGCTTACACTTCAATGCTTGCTTTGTAGAAATTCCTTTTACCTGTTACAAACAATATCATTATTATATGTATTGCAGAAAAATTTATAGAGGGATTCTATAAAAAATTCTATACAGAATTTATAGAATTTATATTACATCTTCTGAAATGATGGTTTCCAAAGATGAAGCACAGGCAGTTGAAGCTACTTTAACTCTTTCTGCTTTTAAAGATGTATACAATTCTTCTTGGGAGTCTTCAGACAGAATTAGTACATGAAATAATAACATATAATTTAAATTTAATAATGCACACACACTCACTCATGCGTGCACGCGTAATTAAACATCAGTATATAATTATAACAGCAAAATTATTATAAATATAATACAATTAATCGTATAATAATACAATTACATACCTTTAATTCGTAGAATTATTGCTGAATAATATCCAGAAATATTACGTCGATTATTTGTGCTTCTCTTTATTTTGTCTACGTAAGCAATTTTTCCTTGCTTTTTTAACAAAGTTTCAGGAGTAATATTGGGATTATTACTCCAAAAAACATGTCGCCGGGAGTTCTCACAAACTTCTTCCGTTGTTGAATGTTCTATGAAGGAAAACGGGACTTCCCCTGACGATCCGTCGAGATCGTATTTAACGTGAGCCCACTTCATGTTAGAAGTCAGAGTTAAATATCATAAACTTGAACGTTTTAAAAGAATCAATTCTTTTAATCCAATATATAACTAAATCCGCACGAAATACACAAAACTTTTGCATACAACAAAGGCATATATGCTTATTCCACTGATTAACTTAGGTTAGGTAAGATTACCGCCAATTGTGCTTCTGCCAATCATTATCGCATAATACGCTCATTTTGAACACAGACCTGATTGACCACACTAAAGCATACAGGCCGTGATTGGACTGTTCTATAAGAGTCGTTTTACATTAATTGGCAGTCGCAAGTCGTGATCCAATCAGCGTCGAGCTAAGTCGATTGCATCGCAACGCTTGCGACCTGCGACCGGCATTTTATGTAGATGTGGCATTACGACGCTTGCGATGCCGCGATGCGACTAATATAGAATAATCTTTACACACAAGTGACAAGCTGCTATATAGACGTGGACTAGTGTATATTGAAAGTAACGAAACGAGTCCCTTCTCTCTTCTGAAATTGTGTTTGATACAAGATCATTCACAAATAACACTCACAATATTGTGCCGAGATAATTATTTGAATAAAATAATGCCGAAAAGACCAAGAGAATATAAGCAATGGATGAAGGATCCCAATCCAAAAGAGCCGAAGCAAACGAAACATTCAAGAAAGAAACGTCAACGGCAAATTGCTGGACAGGTATGGTTATGTGCACTATGAAATACTGCAATAAATATTTTAATTGTTTAGGGAAATGGGATAAGATGACGAAGATTAGGTTAGACCCAGTGAGAAATGACTCATCGAATCGACATCAATGTGATGTAATATCGATGACTTTGACGTCGATTTGATGTCGATTGATAGGTCATTTCTCGCTGGGGATTGCCAATTTTTCGTAATTTTTATGATGAAAATAATGATTGATTTTTTGGTAAACTTTTAAATTAGCTCGGATCTGCTTAAAAATTGATTTTTTCTATACATTTTTTATCACTGAATACGAATATAGAAGAATACGAATGTAGAAGGATCATATAATTAAGTTGTTTTATATATTTTTTAGGATGGTAGCCTGAATATGTTCAACCGACAAAAAAATCTTCTAGATTCGTATTTAGCGATAACAAATGGATAGAAAAAACCAAGTTTAAAACAGATTGGAGAGGGATAGCTAATCTAAAAATTTATAGATTTTTTTCAGATTGACAAAAGCTTTGCTTATTATTTGTAATAATTGAAAAACTATTATACACATATATCAAAATATTTTTAAATTAAATTTTGATTTTTTAAAGGACGTGTTAATTTTGTCTTGTCCCCTTTTTTTCAATATTTATTGAATATCAACTATGAGTACTATAAGTTATATCCTTAAGAAATTTTAAGTATATTATCATTTTTCTTAATCATTTAGTTGCATACAGTTTCTATGAAATCTTTAATAAACAGATAAGATTTATATACATGGCACTTATTATATTATACATAGTAATATCAAATAAGATTGTGATTATGACATATGATTATTTAAATACAAATAAAGTTATACGCACAATTTTATGTATTTATTATTTTGTATTAATAGGGGCAAAATGCAGCTGTATGCTCACAAATAGAAGCTCACATTGTAAATATTGGCTGCACTTCTGCTGAAAGTATACATTCATTAGAGGAAACGTTTACTTGTGATAACTCTCCAAAAAATAATGAAGAGCTCATCCTCAATGAGGTAAAATTAAAAAAATTAATACGCAAATTTTGTAATATATATAGTTATTTATAGAAATTTTCATATATAGATTTTGTAATAAAATAATGTAATATTTATTAGCTACTAAAATATATATTATATAAAAATAAATCGTAAGAAAGTTTTTCGAAATATCTTAACATTATTTTTTATTTCTAGGAAATTGATACAGATTCTATATTTAGTATTAATGACTTTCCACAACCATGTTCTATACTTGAAAATACATGGGACAAGGTAAATAAATACTTAAACATTTGTTATTACGAAAAAAATCTTCTAAAGTAGTGACATTTACTTCTTAGTACTCAGCTATATAAGCTTAGTAAAATAAAATATAATTTCTATTCCTCAATAAAGATGAATTATTAATATAGAGAAGAAAATATATATAATAAAATAATAAAATTATAAGTGAAAATTTTATTACAGAAAAAAACAATAAAATTATATAATAATGTTTATTTTTTTGATAGTTAATGTTGAATAGATTTACATGTACATATATCTGAGGTGTTATCTGAAGTGAATATTTCATATTATTTTTATATAATCTTTCAATTTATTTGATTTGTATTTTGTATTATGTATATATATATATATATATATATATATATATATATATATATATTAT